ACAAACATGAAATTTGTTTAATCACCTGTAAGTAGTATGCATGCTCCCAAACATCTATGCCAATCAAAGGAACCAAACTTGGACCTTTTGTAACCAGTGGGTCCTACAACAGAGATTCATATTTCAACAATTTGATTTCTGAAGTTTAATAGGGATACTAATTTGTTCGAATAAAACTAGTGATAGCTTACCTGATTTGATGTGGTTTCAACCACAAGCCTCTTCAACTCTTTGTCAACAGCAAGCCACTGCCAAAATATATCATAAGTTTAAAATAACAAAAAATAGTTGAAAGAAAAAACCAAAATGACAAATAAAAGATTAAGGAACATACCACCCATCCAGAACCTTGCACAGCAGCACCTTCTGCATTCATTTTAGCAATCAATTTTTCCACAGAGCTAAAGCTCTGGTTGATAGCCGAGCCCAAAGAACCATGTGGTGGCTCGCCACCTCCTTCCTGCAATAAGGTTTTAGGGTTTCAGTTTTGGTCAAATTATAGTGCTCGGAAGTCAGAATTATCATATTATCAGAAGAAGAAACTAACACTGGTGGGAGCGAGATTCTTCCAAAAAATTGAGTGATTTACATGACCTGCTCAGAGACATAAAGGTAGATTAGATATATGTGGTTATATGAATATCATTATCCTCCTAGCATCAAATTTGTCCTATATATGTTGTTCAGTTGTTTCACTTTAACCTATTTAGGACTTGAAGGGGAAATTTCCGATGGAATGTAAGATACATAACGCTTCTAGCAAGTATTCAACCAAAAACACTGAAATCGATAAGATTGGAAATGATAGTGTTTAACCTCCGCCATTGAACTTAATAGCGCTCTGCAATTTGACAGCAGTTGAAGCATCTCCCTTGGTGATAGCATCGTCGAGCTGCTCGATAGCTTTATTGTAGTTGGTTATGTAAGTCTGGTGGTGTTTCTGGTGATGGAGCTGCATGATATCTCCGCTAATCGCCGGCTCCAGTGCGCCATAATCGTAGGAAAGATCGGGAAGCGTGAACGTCTGCAATCCACGCACATGTTGCTGAAACCTGGATATCGCACCTAGGGTTTTACCAGTCGCGAGGGTTCGTAGAGCCATGTGTTCAGCAAATCAATTTGGGAAGAAATGGCGTAGCGGTGTCGGTGCTGTCTTTGATCGAGAATTCTCTTACTTACAAACAAGTCCTTATAGTATCAAGCAATTCTTCTCTTGCACCTTAGCGTTTTGCCACTACTTAAAATTTCGTCCTTCGTTGATTCAACTCTGTCGATAACATAATGAAAGTTTGGCTTTTTATTTACCGAATCATTTTATAGATTTCGTAAGAATAATTAATTCAAACTTTTAGTCAAAAAGAATGTTATATATGAAATAGGGGTAATGTTGTTATTGTTGTTACCAAGACTCCTTCAAGTAAACTTTGTTTTTCCAAAAGAGCTAAATACATGAAATAAGATTGCACTTTCTAATATTTTTTATTACAACATTATATTTATATTTCGTTTTATGATAGCATTATGTTATTATAGGAAATAATCAAAAATACAGTAGTGTGATAAGAAGAAACAAAGTACATGTTATTATAGGAAAAATAGAAAGTATATTGCTATTTTTACCATTTCAAAAATCATGTCTTAAATGTTTTCAGGCACCACCATAAAAATCAGATCAAGAAAACAAATATATAAAATGAAATATTGTTTGATAATAATAAGTTCAAACTATTTAATAATTACATTAAGTAACAAACCAGAATATTAAAAGCATAAACAGAAAATACGGATCTATGATACAATCTCCAGTATATAGTACACGCTTCTAAAGCCAAATGTGCTAGTTTTTCAGTAATTCTTCAGCTTTCTTCACCCAAACATTGTAGATATCATCGGAATATAGCACAAAGTGAATCTACAAACAGATCATAATCACGTTCTTTAACAGATATAAGCAAATATTGGAAACCATTCTGTTTAATCAACATCACAACGAAAGTACCTCTTTAAGGCGATCAATGGGGTAGTCTCTAATTGTAGATATGGCCACAGTTGCAGCTTCTTCAAAAGGATATCTGAAATGGTAATTACACTTTCTGTGAGCTTATAACTGTTATCCTTATAAAAGAAGTAGCAATTTACTGAACTCACCCATTGGCACCACATGATATGGCAGGAAATGCAACATATTTAAGACTGTTCCCACTTACATAACGCAAACAGTTCCTGTATGCATAACGCAAGGTAGCTGCAGGATTCTCATCTTCATTATAAACAGGACCAACAGTGTGGATTACACGATATGCAGGCAATTTAAACCCTCTGTGTGAATTCCTCAATCATGAGTTCAAGAAATACAAAGTAAATATCAATAATGGAGTCTAGATCTTGAGAACTTACGGAGTCATTCTTGCTGCTCCAATTGGGCAACGTATTCCAGGGCGAACTTCACCAGCACCATAACATGCTGTTCGAAGCTCTGGGCCAGCAGCTCGATGTATAGCTATCAAAGTTAAACAAAATTTGTTAAAAACGTTATGGAAAATGGATTCGGTGTATTGGATTTGGAAGAGAATCACCTGCATCAGCACCACCACCACCAAGCATTCCCTCGTCTGTAGGATTAACCTGTGCATAATGTTATAAATCACAGAAGAAACGCTTGAAAACAGGTTGCCATTGCTTTGACAATAGCTAAATTTAGATAATTAGATCACCACGGAAGGAGACGATCAAAGAAAAACTTAAGGTTTTAATTCTAAAGGTACCGATGATTAGATAGCCACAATTATTTCTATATGTATTACCATGAACAATATCATCGATTTCATATTCAAGTAGATGAAGCAATTAACACAATCCTATATACATACAATAGCGTCGTAGGAGCCATCGATGAACCAACGAGTGATATCTCCTTTCTGAATCTTCAGGACCCTCGTGGGAGACAGATTGAAGTGAACCATCCTTTTCTCAGCGTCGCCTCCATTGGTAGACATATTCGATGTAGCTCTAATTGCACTGCTTCCTTGCAGGAAGGAGAATAATCTTTCGACAACTGTTGGAAAAGCAATGGAAGCGCTGATTCGAGATTCCGGCGGTGTATATCTGAAAATGAATCTATGGATTAATGATCAGGGATTTTATCGTCGCCATGAAAATCTTAAGTACACAAATGGAAAGAAAAAATCAATGGTCAAAAACTTATCGAAGTGTACAACATTTAAAAGAAATAGTCCAATTGTAAGAAAATTCATTGGTCAAACCCCAAAAAGTCAGAAACTTAGCAAAGTGTACAACATTTAAATATTATAAAAAGGTAACTAATTTTTTAAAATGTTAAAAAATCATCCTCCAACTAAAAAAACCTTATTAAAAGGTAACAAATTATTATTTGCCTTTTTAAAAAACCATTCCACTAGCACCAACCGATTGCGTAGGTAAACACGGTGTAATTTTTCTCTCCCACCATGGATGTGTTTGTAAGCAATCTGACCAATATGTGCATGTTGGTGTGTTTCTTTGTGATAGTGTGTTAGTGATTTTTTTTTCTTCAGGCTCTTATTCCTTGCTATGTCTTTTCATATTCTTTTTACGAGCCAACAAGATCACTTAATAATGATTTATGTGAAAGTTTGACAGTGGAGTACTAAAATCTTATACATTGTTAGTGATGTTTGAAGTTATGCATTCTTTTTTGAAGTGGGAAGGCGACGGTGTATTGAATGGGAGATTGTGATAACCACCCTTGATATAACAGTCCATTAGATGAAGTATGCAAGGCGATGGTGTTTTTAAGGTGTGTGTAGCCTTTTTTTGGCTTATTATAGCCAAATCTTTACTTGATGCCGAAAAAAGGAAATATTATTTGATAATAATAAGTTCAAACTAATTAATAACTGTCACCAACTCTACATCAAGTAACAAACCAGAAAATTAAAACAATAAACAGAAAATATGGATCTAGAATACAATATCCAGGAGATAAAAGATCACATTTCTCAAGCTAAATGTGCTAGTTTTTCAGTACTTCTTCAGCTTTTTTCACCCAAACATTGTAGATATCATCAGAAAATAGCACAAAGTGAACCTGCAAACAGATATAAGCAAATATTGGAGACCATCATTTTCAATCAACATCACAATGAAAAGGCGCATAAGTACCTCTTTAATGTCATTGCAGTGGTCTCTAATTGTGGATATGGCCACAGTTGCAGCCTCATCAAAAGGATATCTGAAATGGTAATTAGTTAATTACACATTCTGTCAGTTTATGATCTGTTATATTTATAAAAGAACTAGAAACTTAATGAACCCACCCATAGACACCACATGATACGGCAGGAAATGCAATATATTGAATATTGTTCTCTCTTGCAACACGCAAACTGTTCCTGTATGCATTACTCAATGAGGCTGCAGCATTGCCATCTTCATCATAAACAGGACCAACAGTGTGGATTACATGAGATGCAGGCAATTTAAACCCTCTGTGTAAATTCTTCAATCATGAGTTCAAGAAATACAAAGTAAATGTTAATGAAGGACTAAATGGAGTTTAGATCTTGAGAACATACAGGGTGATTCTTGCTTCTCCAGTTGGGCAACGTATTCCAGGGCGAACTTCAGGAACTTCATAACATGCTGTTCGAAGTTCTGGGCCAGCAGCTAGATGTATAGCTATTAAAATTACACAAATTTTGTTAAAAACGTTATGGAAAATGGATTTGGTTGGATTGGATTTGGAAAGAGAATCACCTCCATCAGCACCACCACCACCAAGCATTCGCTCATTTGCTGGATTAACCTGTGCATAATATCTATAAATCACAGATGAAACGCTTGAAAACAGGTTGCAATTGCTTTGACAATAGTTTAAGCGAAACTTAGAGGTTTAGTTCAAAAAGGCATCAAATCTCATCACCGCGAAATAAAAATTGTTTATATGCAATCTAAAGGTACGATGATTAGATAGCCTCAATCATTTATATATGTTTTACCAAAAACAATATCATCGATTCTGTATGGAAAAACCAAACAATCAACACAATCATATACACATACAATCGCGTCGGAGGAGCCATCGATGAACCAACGAGTGATATCTCCTTTCTGAATCTTCAGGGCGCTCGTGGGAGACAGATTGAAGTGAGCCATGCTTTTCTCAGCGCCACCTCCATTGGAAGACATACTCGATGAAGCTCTAACTGCACCGCTTCGTTGCAGGAAGGAGAATGATCTTTTTACAACAGTTCGAAAAGCAACAGAAGTGCTGATCCGAGATTCTGGCGTTGTATATCTGAATATGGGTCTAGGGTTTAGGGATAGATGAGAGAGAGAACTGAGAACTGTTGATGCGATTGATGGTGAAATTGGGGGCATTTGTTTAGCACACTGGGCTGAGTGGTAGTGTGAGAGTCTGGGTAGTGCGCGAGTTGCGTTATTCCTAGGAGTCCACAACAGAGTCAGCCGAGTAACGATGATGGTGAAACAACGTGGGCCTAAAGAACGATGTCTAAGATTTTTATCAAATGTTGTCAAAAATAAGACAAAATTACAAAAATGGTCCCTTTGGTTTGTCAAAAGTAACAAATTTAGTCCCTATCTATTTTTTTGATGTATTTTGCCATTTTGGTTTGTAAAAGTTGCATTGGAGGTCCTTTTTCTTAACACCATCAATTTTAGCCGTTTGGGGTCATTAAGTTGGGGGTATATTCGTCTTTTTACGTTTGGCGTTCATTTAAGATAGATTAGGCAACGATACGTCATTAACTTATCCTCATTAAGCAGAGTCCAAGAAACCCCATTCTTCTCCTCTTCACCTTAGCCTACTGATCATCTTGACGATCTTCATCCTTCATCCCTCCCATCCGATTTTAGGTTTTATCAACTGAAAATGGTACTTTGTATGTGGAATTTACGTGGTCCTCATATGATTGCACCCGACCTTGATAAAGATTACAGTAAGTTGTATCATCTTTTGTTTGGTGTTTCTTGTTTTATATATTCAAGGCTCATCATTTTTCTTTTTCAGATGGTCATGACAATTTCTTCACTTTAAAAATACATCATGGTGGATTTTTTTCAAAGTTCCCAGGAAGAAAGTACGTTGAGGGAAGGTTGGCATTCTATGACTTTGTTGACACTGATCTTTTTTTAGTTCATGATCTAAATGACATGATTCGTGAGATAAGGTATTCTGCGGATGACACAATATACTATCATTATAGAATTCCTAATCTAGACTTAGATTTTGGATTGAAGGCTCTAGGAAATGATCAAGACGTTATATCTATGACTCAATTTGTCCCTTAAAACAGAGTGATTAATGTGTACGTTGAACATGGTTCTACAAGACTTCATACTTACTTCATGTCCCCAAGTAAAGTTGTTATTGAGCAACTGGATGATGATCCTTCTCCTCAGCTTAATAGGATTAGGCCTAAGAAGAAGGGAATTGGTTCGTATAGCAAGAAATTAGACATGAATGTCCCACTTAAAGAATCATCTAATCAAGCTCAGAGAGAAGATGGTGTGTATGATTTTTCCATGTCCCTAGTTCCTTTTGAGCCAAACAAACAAGACATGATTAATGAGTTTAAGGATGATTCGTATTTCCCTATACCAGAAGAAACTGATACAATGCAAGAAATTACAATTGATATTAATTGCCAGAATCATAGGGAAATGCTAGATGATTTTGAGCCTTTTAGTAGTGATGGATATCAGAATATAGGTGAGTTTGAAAGAGAGGTTGAAGCTGGAGAAGAACAAGATGAAGAAGATGAACAAGGGCATGCAGAGGATTCAAAAGATGATTTAGAAGAGCATACATAAGAAGATGATGATTTTGACTACATTGTTGACCCAGAAGATATTTTAGATGACTGGGAGGTTGATATGAGAGAGTTTCACAGTTGTGTGGATGAGTTTGAATGGTTTGGACAAGGTCCAAACATATAATTAGATTTAAATCAAAATGATGATTTAGGTGTGATCAACAATGATGAGTTTGAAAGTGCAGGATATGAGGAAGACCTAAGGAAGAGAATGTTAAAAAACCTGAACAAGAAGGTGCGTTGTTCTTCTGGGGTAGTTCATGTTACACCATTTTTTGTGGGTCAAGCTTTTAAAACCAAAAAAGATATACAAGGTCACGTGAAGATGCTTTCAATAAAAACAAGGAGGGCCCTACACATGGCAAAAAATGAAAAATTGAGAGTAAGAGTCAAGTGTAAAGGGGTGGTTCCAGATTCCACTGATGGTGGGCCCTCCACTGTAAGTAAAGCCACATCGAAGGGCAAAACTATAATTTCACAAAAAGATTCTTGTCCTTTTGCTATTCAGATATCTAGATCTACGGAATAGGAACAATGGTTGGTGAAGACAGTTCTTGATGAGCATTTATGCTTACAAAGTAGAAATGTGAAGGCATGTACATCTAGATATCTTGCAAGCACTATTCTCCAAAAAGTGGATTCCAACCCTCACATCCCAATAACAGCCTTACAAGAAGAGCTTCAAATGGATTTGGAATTAAGCATATCAAGAATGAAGGTGTTCAGGGCTAAATCAATTGCAAAGGAACAACTGTATGGTGACTACGAAAGACAATATAATTTGCTGAGAGATTACTGTTTGGAGTTACAAACCAATAACCCAGGTACAACAGTGAAGCTAGAAGTGTGTAATGAACCAAATCCTGATGTTCAAACTCATATTTTCAAGAGGATATACATTTGTATTGGAGCACTTAAGTTGGGGTTCAAATCTGGAAAAAGGGAATTATTAGGATTGGATGGATGTTTCTTGAAAGGACCACACCCTGGACAAATTCTAACAGTTGTAGGTCTTGATTCCAACAATGGAATATATCCACTAGCTTATGCAATTGTGGAAGCTGAGACAACAAGTTCATGGACATGGTTCTTAGAATGCCTTGGTGATGATTTGGATTTGGATGCATCATGCAACTTCACTTTTGTATCTGACAGACAAAAGGTATAATACATATAACATAAGTATCTTTTAAAGCTTGTAACAATACTAACTATAATTTACATTATATGTAGGGCATAATACATGCAATAGAAAAAATGTTTCCAAATGCAGAGCATAGATGGTGTTTGAGACATATACATGAAAACATGAAGTTGCAATAGAGGGGAGAAGAGTTTAGAGATCACTTATGGAGTTGTGCTACACATACAACCATTAGGCATTTTGAAAGGTCAATGGATGAGTTCAAAGATTTCAGTGCAGAGGCTCATGAATGGCTAAGTAAGATTCCTCCAATTCATTAGGCTAGGTCTCATTTCTCAGGTAGAGCCCATTCAGATTGTCTTTTAAACAATTTTTGTGAAGTATTCAAATCTAAGCTAGAGCATAGAAGGGACAAGCCTATAATTACATGTTTGGAGTACATAAGAGTGTACTTGATGAAGAGACATTGCATTGTACAAAAAGAAATTGATAAATGCAAAAGTCTATTAACCCCTACTGCAACTACCATACTTGATACAATTAAAACAACTACAAGCAAATATAGGGCACTCTCTAGTGAATCTGGAAAATATCAAGTGACTGGTATGATGTTTGATCAGTATGTGGTCAACTTGAAAGAGGGTACATGTAGTTGTAGGTATTGGGAGATAACAGGGATAGTCTGCAGGCATGGAGTTTGTGCAATATGGGAACATATTCAAAATGGTGAAAAATCCCAACAACCTGAATATTGGGTGCATCCTTGTTATAAGGTAGAAACAAGGATGGCAATGTATTGTAACAAAATAGATCCAATCAATGGCAGGAGCATGTGGCCAAAATCTAGATGTCCAACCACTCTTATACCACCTACACATCACACACAAGTAAGTTGAATGTTAGTTAACATAATTTATTATTCATCCTGTTTTAACATTTCCTTAATATTTTTGTAGGTTGGAAGGCCAAAGAAAAAGAGGAGGAGGGCTATAGATGAGCCTACTAACCAATCAAAAAACCTATCTAGGAAATTCTTGACTGTTACTTGTTCCAAGTGTCATAACAAAGGACATAACTCTAGAACATGTAAGGGGCAAGGGGGGTCAAGTCAGAGAGCAGTGGGTGGATCAAGTCAAGGTGGTGTCGGTGGATCAAGTAAAGATGCATTTGGTGGAACAAGTCAAGGTTCAGTGGGTGGATCAGGTGAAGATTTCATGGGTGGGTTAAGAGCAGAGAAGATAGACAAGGGAAAAAAAGCCTCAAGTAGGACCTAAGTGAAGTTGGATACAGATGAAAGCATGACTAATCAAGTTATTTGGCTACCTTTTGTTTAAGATTATAAACTTGTGTTGATGCTTTTGTTAAAACATGTTTAATCTAGATAATTACATCTTTTTGCAACTACCTAAATCAGTTATGTAATTAAGTTGATACTAGCCATATGTCATGCTACATTTCTGGTTATAATGATCTCAGTTATCATGTTTTGATATGGTATGTGTTTCTCATTCCATTCCATTGTTTAATAATGACCAAAAATCATTCCATTCCATTGTTTGATAATGTCCAAAACTCATTCCATTCCATTGTTTGATAAATGACCAAAACACATTCCATTCCATTGTTTGCTTATAGGGTTTTGATTTTTTATTTTTCTCATTCCATTCCAATCTTTGATAAATGGACACAAATCATTCCATTCCAATCTTTGATAAATGGACACAACTCTTTCCATTCCATTCCAATATTCCTGATCAATAAAAAAACAATGCTTTATAATTAACATAAGACAAAATTGTTGGATTAGTGTCTAAGCCTGTAACAATAATTGGTAAGTACTTGACCCAATTGTGCATGGTCCTTTTAGGTTGCTTCACCAAAGCAACTTGACTGGAGAAATAATAGAGAGAGAGGTTATTATGATTTATTAATATGTTATAAGAATAATATATTAAAGGAGAAATCATATTTGTTTAATTAATATTGGTCAATAATTAATTAAGAATTAATTTTGTGATCAAATGTAATTAATTAAACTAGAGATGAATTGTAATTATGTGATAGTTACACAATAGGGTAAGGATTATCCTAAGGATAGGTTGGACGAATTTAAGGTGATAAGGCCTTAGAATTCGTCCATGATAAGGATTCAAGGCTTATCTTATGGTTTGCTTGGTGGGCAAGCAACTAGATAAGGATAAGGACTGAAACCCTATCTCTACACCTATATAAACACCCCTTTGGCTCATGAATTCGTCCATACCTTCCCAAGACTTCTTAAGGACGAATTTTATACCTCTCCTTCTTTCTCTATAGCCTCTCCAATTGCTCTTAGTGTTTGTGAGCCATTAGAGGCACTACACTTGTGGTGCTTGCTTTCAAGACTTAGGGTTTGAAGATTCAAGTTGTTATTACAATATAACAACAAGAGGTATGTAATCTAACCTTCTTGGTTAATTTCGAAAATAGAAATCATCTTTAGGGTTTTATTATGTGTTCATAATGTTGTGTATTTAATAGTGAAAACATAGATCCAAAGCTAGGGTTGAATGTACACATAGGATTGTTTGTATAAAACCCATCAGTGGTATCAGAGCCTTTGGTTAACTTATTTTCAATTAGTTTATTCAATTGTATGAACTTGACATATTAGGGTTTATTGCCAATAAACCCTAGGAGGCTAGGGTTTTTCGAGATTAGGGTTTGCAAACCCTAATTTGAAAGAGTTTGAATAAGATCTTCAAATCCTTTCCTTAAACCCTTAAATTTCGAAATCTAGGGTTTGTTTTAATCCCTTGATTTTCGAAATTAGCCTCCTCCCCAAGATAAGATCCTAAATTTTAGGGATTTGGATTATCTCATATATTGTAATTATCTTCTAATTGTTATATATGGTAATTATAGATTTTGCATTATCCTAACCATAATTTCGAAATCTAGAGAGATAATTAAGGGATTAGGATATCTTAAATGTATAAATGGTAATTATCCTCATGATTTAGATAATCCCTTATGATTTAATAATTAAATTAATAGTCTAATTCAAGATAATTATTAAATCAAGAGTTTTAATATTTAAAATTTTAATTTACATGTCATAAATTCGAAAATTTTAAGAGAAATTAAAACTAAATTGTTTTGAAAAGTTTCAAAACTTGCCCTCAAGTTTTGGAATTTTAATTTTGATTAAAAGTTTAATTTTGATGCATATTTAAATTCTAAACCCTAATGTTTTGAAATGTTTCAAAACTTGCCCTCAAGTTTTGGAATATAAAAGTTGATTAAAAGTTTAATTTAGGAATGTTAAATTCTAAAACTCTAGTATTGTTTTGAAAAGTTCAAATCACACCCTTATGGTTTTATTAATTAATTAAGGTGTATAATTAAAAGAAGTTTAATAAATCCATAAAAGTTTTGGTTTACAATTAAAAGTATAATTGTTATATTTGACCACCTAGTATTTTTAAAGTATAAAACACACCCTATACTATATATAACATTAAAAGTCTAACATTATATATATATATATATATATATATATATATATGTATAAGTAAAAGTTAGTCTTACCGTTAGTAGGCCTCATTCACGAAGCTGGTCTATAAGGGGTGTTTAAGGAAATTGCCTATAAAATGGCGATTGAATGGGTATCCACTCTTACCCACCGCACTCTTGACTAGTGGAGGGTCGTTAGCCGAACGGGTAGGATAGGAAAAAACCTTCCATTATAAGTATAATGAAATACAAAGTAACTAAATGTTTTTCAAATTCCCAATCTTAGTTACTTAGGCAAAAGTGAATTGATGCAATTCCATGAAATTACACTTTGTGCCCTTGCGAAGACGTTAGTGGAG